TCCATCCTGCTCTCTCCATCCTGCTCTGTCCATCCTGCTCCCTCCATCCTGCTCCTCCATCCTGCTCCCCCATCCTGCTCTCTCCATCCTGCTCCCCCATCCTACTCTCTCCATCCTGCGCCCTCATCCTGCTCTCTCCATCCTCTCTCCATCCTGCTCTCTCCATCCTGCTCTGTCCATCCTGCTCCCTCCATCCTGCTCCTCCATCCTGCTCCCCCATCCTGCTCCCCCATCCTGCTCTCTCCATCCTTCTCCCTCTATCCTGCTCCTCCATCCCACTGTCCCCAACCCACTGTCCCCATTCTGTTCCCTCCATTCTGCTCCCTCCATCCTGCTGTCCCCATCCCGCTGTCCCCATCTTGCTCCTCCATTCTGCTCCCCTCTAATCTGCTGCACCCCACTCTGCTTCCCTCAACCTGCTCCTCCGTCCTGCTGCCCCCCAAATTATTCCTCCCATCCTGCTGCCCACATCTTCCTCCCCAATCCACTGCTTCTCCTAAACTGCTTCCCCAAATCGTTCTCCCAATCCACTGCCCCAAATTCTCTCCCCAGAACCAGCTCTCCCCAGTTTGCTCCCTCCTGATTCCCTGCTAATCTGCTGCCCCTTATCTACCTCCTAACCCTCTTCCCCATAACCTTCTCTCCCAAATCCTCTCCTCCCTCTCCATCCCCACTGCCTCCCAACCTTCTACCTCCCTAATCTGCTGTCCCCAACCTACTGCCCCCAGGACCTCAAGGGCCAGTACTGGACGGATGATGACTCTGACGGCGACAATGAGTCCGAGGAGTTCCTTTACGGCGTCCAGGTGGGTGCTGAGTCCCACGGGTGTTGTGGGGGGCTCAGGGATCCCGAACCTGAGCCTGATCCCAAGGTTGGGGCTGTGGGGGACTCTGGTCTGATGGTGCTATGGGGTGCTGTGCTGCAGGGGACCTGTGCCGCCGACCTGTACCGTCACCCACAGCTGGATGCTGACATCGAGGCGGTGAAGGAGATCTACAGCGAGAATGCCGTGGCTGTCAGGTGGGTACACCTGCCTCCTCCCCACCCCTGCACCTGGCTGTGCCACCCCTGGACACCCAGACATGGCATTCCCAGAGCACCCAGCTGTGGCATTCCCAGGCACTCATCTGTGCCATCTTCAAATACCCAACTGTGTCATCTGTGCCATCTTCAAATCCCCAACTGTGCCATCCCTGAGACACCTAGCCATGGCATCACTGGGGCACCCATCTGTACCATATCCAGGCCACCAGGCCATGGCATCTCTGGACACCTGGCTGTGCCACCCCTGGGGCACCAACCTGTGCCAACTCAGGGCACCTGACCATGCCATCCCCAGGCATTTGGCCATTTGGAGCATCCAGTTTTGGCACCCCGGACACCCAATTGTGCCATCCCTGGGGCACCTGGCTGTGCCATTGAGGGGCATCTGGCTGTGCCACCCTCAGGGACCTTGCTGTGCCATTGCTGGGGCATCCAGCCATGGCATCCTTGGGACACCTGGCCATGCCATCCCCTGAGAATCTGGCTGTGCTGTCCCCAGGCACCCATCTACAATCTGGGCACTTCCCTGTGCCATCCCAAGCTCAGAGGTGCACACACTCAATACATGGGGAGCCACATGTACCTGTCACTGTCCCCACGAGCCTGTCCACCCTGGCATGGTGGCCACTGGACCACAGTTCTGGTGCTGTGCCAGTCTCCCCGTGCCACAGCATCATGTGTCTTCACAGGGAGTATGGGACCATCGATGATGTGGACATTGACCTCCACGTGAACATCAGCTTCCTCGATGTGAGTCCACAGGGTACCCCTGGCAGCACTGGCATGGGGAGGGTGGGCACATGTGCCCAGAGAGTCCCCAAATTCCCCTCCCTGGCTGGGGTCCCGTGCAGCTGTGCCGAATTGTGGCTCTTCCTCACCAGGAGGAGGTGGCGACGGCGTGGAAGGTGCTGCGGACGGAGCCCATCGTCCTCCGCCTGCGCTTCTCCCTCTCCCAGTACCTCGATGGCCCCGGTGAGTGGGGATGGGCAGGACACAGTGTCCCCTATGCCCTCAAGACAGGCACAGCGGTGACACCAATGGCTTGTCCTCCTCTCTTCCTGCAGAACCGTCCATCGAGGTTTTCCAGCCATCCAACAAGGAGGGCTTCGGGCTGGGTCTGCAGTTGAAGAAGTAAGAGCCAAAACATGGTGCACATCTGAGGGTGGTGGGTGGGGATGGCCCACAGCGTCACCATATTGCCCCAAAACATGCCAGGTGCCACATGTCCCCATGCCACCACATTTTATCGGCC